ACTGACTAAACAGTATTCAAATGCAAGGGATAATCTTTTTGTTTTCTTTAGGTTTTGATTTTTCATAGTTAAGCGACTCAACTAGATGCACAAGTTTTTTAAGGCAAATAGCAGCCCTCTCCCTCATTTCCTTTATCCAGAGGCCCCCACTTTTAATTCTTTTAGCTGATTCTTTTGATTCACCTCTATCTTATTAAGTAACACACTGTGTTACCAAATCTTGACTTCCCAGTTTTAGGTATTATCCACTGACTTCTATTATGGGAGAGTAAAATTTAGCTCTCCTACCTCTCTATCCCCCACAATATATACTCACACACTGTATCCTTTGAGTGTAGCTGTACCTTAATTTTGGTTAGATTAGTGTGCTATTCAGAGTTGAGCCATAAAATATGACTAGATATTCTTTGCTGCACAATTTTTTAGATTTTTTTTCTCCTTTGCTTAGCTTTCTAGCTATCCTAAACTTGCTGCCAGTTGTCCAAATCACTTCTCTTTTTATTTTCTTGAGACAGAGTCTCACTCTGTTGCCCAGGATGGAGTGCAGTGGCCCACTCTTAGCTCACTGCAACCTCTGCCTCCCGAGTTCAAGCAATTCTCCTGCATCACCTCCTGTAAATCACCTCTTAATACATTTACATTTATATTAGGCTTACCAATTTATCTTTCTGAACAGCTTTACTAGACCTTTAACCTGCTCCAATCTGGTTGGCTGCCCTGGTTACAGGCATGCAGTCATTTACCACATTGTATTAATAATTTAGGTTAAGGATTAAAAATGTCACCTAATTCTATCAAATATGGAGTTTATAATCTGTATCTTTTGTTTCAGAGTAACTTTTAAGAAAACAAAGCAGCAAAAAGTTATCTTTTCTCAATGACCTTAAAATGAGAAGCCTCTACATTGCCACAACTATGATTTTACTACCTTTAGAAATGACAAAGACTGATGGACTTATAGTTTTATAATTTTGCAAGGAAACTTATCTTTATTATGGATTCAGTTAATGTAATTTTGTTTCAAGATTTTTTTATTTTTTTGGGGGGGTG